TCTGAAATTTTCTACAACATGGATGAACATTGAGGACATTATGCTAAGTGAAATAAGCCAGTCATAATAAGACAAATCTGTATGAGTCCACTTATATAAGGTACTTGGAATCAGAAGCATAAAAACAAACTAGAATGGTGGTTACCAGGGCTGAGGGGTGGGAGAATGGATTATTGTTTAATAGGTATAGAGCTTCAGTTTTGCAAGATGAAAAGAGTTATGGGGATGGATGGTGGTAATGGCTGCATAACAATGTGAATTACTGAATACCGCTGAATTGTACACTTGAAAATGGTTAAGATGGTAAATTTTATGAAATGTGGAACTTACCACAATAAAAAAAAATGAAATAGAGACCCTTCTCACCCTGGCAAACTCAAGAGAGATACTCCACTAGATCCTGGCATTTAAGATTCTGGAGGAAACGAGTGATACACACTTAGTTCTGGTTCCTTTATAAGTACCTGCCTTTTGTTGGTTTTCCTTGTCTGCTTTGGCATTATAGCATTTTCTTCTTGCTCTTAAACCCCATAGCAGGTGTCAAGTGTGAGCCCCTCTCCCTGCACTTTTGCCTGGCCTTTGTTTCAGTCCAGGGCAGTTTTCATCTGCCATTGTACTGGCTTTCGCTTCTCCTCCCTTTTGCCGGTCCTCGTCTCCTGGAACTCCTTGCATGCACCACCTACATGCGTTCCTTCTGGGGTCCTGACCTTTCTCCTGCTGTTTCATCTTGCTCTTCTCAGAGTTCTGGGAGCTGTCCAGCTTATTGTCCCCTTTGCTGACCTGATTGCTGGCTGTGTCCGGTCCTCACTGTAATCTTAACCCCTGTGGGCTTTCCTGTGCCCAGATGGGTCTGTCTGGTGGCAGGGGAGCAGCCTCTTGAGAGAGAAATTAAGATGTTTCTCCTAATTCTTGCAGTATCTACATTTACTTGGAAATCTCAAATTCATCCCCTTAGTGGATGTACTTTCTCATATTTCTGGTGACATTTTTCTGTTCACTTGTCCTTAAAGCTGGAAGTCAGTACGAGTCCAGTACGGCAGACTTAAGATGAGTTGTGCCATTTTAATTGTGTCAAGCTGGAGCTTGGGCTGTTGGCAGATGTGCAGGCTGGTTTTCCCCTGAGGCTTGGGGTCTAATTTCCATGTCTGAGTGGCAGCCATGGGTTGCGGTGCCTAGCATGGCTGCTAAGACTGCCTACACAAGGTCTTGCCTCAGATACTGGTTGGCCCTGGCAAGTATTTTCTGTGGGATGTGACACCTCATTTGTGGTTGGCTTTGTTTTGGCAGGAGATGGCTTGTCTTATAACCCTTATGTGCCCAGTCAATATACAGAGGCTAGTGACAAAGTCAAACCTAAAAAGTCCTAAATTTGCCAAATAATGTTTTATCAAGGTTTAACTTACATATCATAAGATGTATGTGTACTGTACCCATTTTATGTGTACTGTTTGATGAAATTTGACGAATTTATACACCTGTGTCAGGACCAACATAATCAAGATATAGAACCTTTTCATCACCCTACAAGATTCTTCATGCCCCTTCATATTGATCCTCTCCCTTCGCCAGCTGCAGGCCCATGTCTCTCACTCCAGATCCTTTTGCCCATATGGTGCATGGACCTTTCAGAAGGCCCCCAGTGACACCAGCCTCCTCAAAGGTGTCTGTTCAGGTCTTTGGCCCATTTTTAAATTGTGTGTTGCTCCTTTTCTTGTTGAATTTTAAGAGTTCTTGGATAACAGTCCTTTATCAGGTATGGATTTTGCAAATATTTTTTCCCAGCTAGTGGCTTGTCTTCTCATTCTCTTGACATTGCTTTTCATAGAGCTGAAAATTTTAATTTTAATGAAGTCCAGCTTGTCAATTCTTTCTTTAATAAATTATTGCTTTGGTGTTGTATCTAAGAAGTCATCAGCATACCCAAGACCGTCCAGATTTTCTCCTATGTTACCTTTAGGAGTTTTACAGTTTTGCATTTTACATTTAGGTCTGTGATCCATTTTGAGTTAGTTTTTGTGAAGGATTTAAAGTCTGTGTCTAGATTTATTTTTTTTTGCATGTGGATGTCCAGTTGTTCCAGTACCATTTGTTTGGAAAGTTTCCATTACACAGGTTTCCCCCGCTATCTGAAAGTAGAGAGTTCCTATGAAGCCGTTCATAAGTTGAAATAGTATAAAGCAAAGAGTATCCCCTGCTTTCTGAAAGTTCACATTATGCCACTTCGCTTTTACAAAAGACCTACATTAGTATGGTAACAACTTTTTTCGTAAAAGAGAAAATCCTCTTTGGATTTCTCTCAGTTAGAGAAAATAGGTAATAATGTAGGTCTTTCATAAAAGTGAAGTGGTGTAACAAGAAGTTTTGGAAAGTGGGGGATACTTGTATTGTTTCTGCTCCTTTGTCAAAGATCAGTTGACTATATTTGTGTGGGTCTATTTCTGGGCTCTCTATTCTGATCCGTTTATCTATTTGTCTATTCTTTTGCCAATACCACACATCTTGATTGTTGTAGCTTAGTAATAAAAGTTGGCTAGTAGAAATCTTCTAACTTTGTTCTTCTCCTTCAATATAGTGTTGGCTATTCTGGGTCTCTTGTCTCTTCACATAAACTTTAAAATCAGTTCATTGATATCTACAAAATAAGTTGCTGGGATTTTTATTGGGATTGCATTGACTTTATAGATCAATTTAGGAAGAACTGATATCTTGACAATATTGAGTCTTCCTATCCATGAACATGGAATATCTATTTATTTATTTTTTTTCTTTGATTTCATTCATCAGAATTTGGTAATTTTCCTCATATAGATCTTATACATGTTTTGTTAGATTTATACTTAAGCATTTGATTTTCTGGGGTGCTAATGTAAATGGCATTTTGTTTTCAATTTCCACTTGTTCATTGTTGGTATATAGGAAAGTGATTGACTTTAGTATATTAACTTTGTATCCTGTGAACTTGCTACAGTGGCTTATTAGTTTCAGGAGGTTTTTTTTTTTGGTTGATTTTTTCAGATTTTCTATGCAAACAAACAATCATGTCATCTACAAACAGCGACAGCTTTATTTCTTCCTTCCCTATCTGTATATCTTTTTTTTTTCATTTTGTTTTCTTACTGAATTAGCTAGGGGTTCCAGTATAATGTTGATAAGGAACAGAGAGAGGGGACATCTTTGCCTTGTTCCCAATCTTAGCAGGAAAGCTTTAAGTATGATGTTAATTGTAAGGTTTTTGTAGATGTCCTTTATCAAGTTCAGGAAGTTCCCTTCTATTCCTAATTTATTGAGAGTTTTTATTATGAATGGTTGTTTGATTTTTTCAAATGCTTTTTCTGCATCTATTGACATGTTCATGTGATTTTTCTTCTTTAGCTTGTTGGTTGATTTTCAAATGCTGAACCAGCCTTGCATACCTGGGGAAAATCTCACTCGGTTGTAATACATAATTCTTTTTATATATTGTTGAATTCAACTTGCTAATATTTTGTTGAGGATTTTTACATCTATGGTCATGAGAGATACTGGTCTGTAGTTTTCTTGTATGCTTTTGTCTGGTTTTGGTGTTAGGGTAATACTGGTCATATAAACTGAGTTAGGAAGTATTCTGTTGTCTAGAAGAGGTTATACAGAATTGATATAATTTCTTCCTTAAATGTTTGGTAGAATTCATCTGTGAATGCATCTGGGTCTGATGCTCTTTTGGAAGGTTATTAATTATTGATTCAATTTCCTAAATAGATAGACCCATTCAGATTGTTTATTTGTTGTATATTTTTTACGGTGTTTTTTTTTTTTTTTTCTGAGAAAGCGTGGTTCAGTTCATGGAAGTTAAGTGCATATGGGCTGTGAATCCCCTGGAAATAAAGTGTTCATGCTCTTAGGATGGCTCAACTGTTGAAGTGACTTAGCGGCCTGAAGACCAGCTACTGGACAGCACCTCCAGGCTTCTGCTATGAGGTTTATGTGCACATGCATGTGTCCTCTCGACAGGTGCTAGGAATCTGGAGGCTGCCTAGCTCTCCCCAGCTCATCTCTCTGTGACTCTCTGCTACCTCCCAGCTTTCTAGGAAACACACTCTTGCCCGAGAGCTGGTGGCTTCACGTCACTCTGGCGACTCCCAGCAGGAGACTCTCCATGGCAGGACGTGGGTCAGCAAGACACGGGCACTGAGGAACACAGTTTTCCCATGGGACATTAAAGCATTCGGCTATCTCCCACCTCAGGGCCTTTGCACTTGCTTTTCCTCTGCCTGTCACCCTCTTTTCCAAGATTACCCTGTGGCTTCCCATCACTCAGGAAGTACCTGGCTCAAAGGACACCTTCTCCTGGGAGCCTCCTCAGCCCCAGCCATATGCTACCACTCTTCACTTCAGCCCCCTTCCCGTCTCATTCTCTTTATTTTCCTCCTAGCATATGTCAGTATCTAAAAGACAAGTCTTGAGTCTGTCTGTCTGCCCACATGGTATGTTGGCTTCATGAGACAGGGCCTTGCCTTATCCTTGGAGGGCCTAGACCCAGGCCTGACCCAAAATAGGTGCTCCGTCTGTGTTTGGGAGTGAATTCCTTGTTCCCAACAGGTCTCATATAGTGCTCCAGCCTGACCCTGCCTAGCCCAGCTCTCCTGGGCCTGATACTAGCAGAAGAACGCTCCCAGGTGGGAGGTCCTTGGAGCTATCCCTCTCTGGCTACAGACTACTCCAGGGTGGGGATGGACCAGCCTGGTATGACTCCACCCACATGACATACTCCCAGACTGCTCCTGGTTTCCCATGACCCTCAGCTCCCGGGTCCAACAGGACACATCCTCTTACCAGAGCTAGGCCTATAAGACTTCAAATGGAGCTTTCCAGAAAACTGAAGCCAGGTAAGGGCTAGGGTCATGGACAGGGAGGGTGTGGGGCCGCACAGCCCAGGTCCCAGTGGCTGTGGGGGTCCCAGGAGGACAGCCAGTGACAGAGCTCACCCCTCACTGGCCTGGGCAGCCCCACGTGAGACCTACATGCGGAGCTGGGTGTTTTTCAGGGTGAAGCTCAGCTCCTCCAAGGCCTCCTCCATTTCCTGAGTGTTCTGGATCAGCGAGAGGTTCTGCTCCTCCAGCTCTGTGAAGACGTCCAGGAGCTGCTGGGGCTCCGTGAAGTACAGCTCCAGCTTCTGCAAACAGAGCCATGTGTGTAAGGCACCAGCAGAGTGTGTGTGTGTGTGTGTGTGTGTGTGTGTGTGTGTGTGTGTTGGGGGGTAGGGGTTGTGGCTCCCACAAGCCCCACCCAGAGTAGGGCCACTGACCTCCCCGTCACTGTCTGAGTCCTCCTGCGCAGGGATGGCAGGGATGGCAGAACTCAACCTGCGGAGAGATGTGGAGTCAGAGGGCCAGGGCCTAACCTGAGCACAGAAGTCCTATGGCCATTGTGCCCCATCCCAGCGGTGTAGACACCTGGCATCTCCACAGCATCTCTCCATCCTTATACCCCTTTTCCCCCTCATCCATCGCATAAGCTGCCCTGGTGGTGGCACCAGCTTCCTCTTGGACCCCCAGGTGTTACACAGCAGCCAGGAGGATAGTTTCAAAATTCAATTAATTTATCTTACTCCAGTTAGAATAAAACTCAACCTCCTTCTGGGAGCTGTGAGGGCCCTGCCACCCTCCCCGCCCTCACCTCCCCACCACCCAGGGTTACTCTGCTCCTGCCCTGCAAGCTCCCTTCCTGTCTCTATAGGCACTGACCATACCTCAGGGCACTGGCAACTGAGGCTCCCACTGCTAGGGCTGACCCTCTTCATTTACCATCCTTTTTCTAAAAGCCACTTTCAGGGCCTTTTATGCCCATCTTCCCTATCTAGATATGGCCTTGGCATTTGTCATTGATAGCTCGCTTTGCCATCCTGTGACATTAACAGTCACCTTCGACTGACCCTGAGCACACCACAGGAGCAGGGACCACTATGGGCCAGCCCCCAGGGGTGTGGGAAAGGCTGTGTGGGCTTTGAGTTCTCAGCATGGGGCCCTGGAAGGCCCCACAGATGGGGACCCAATCTTGCCTGACATCCAGACCTGCTCTCATCACACTCTTTGCCTGCCTCAGCCTGGGCCCCCACCCTGGATGTGCAGGTTCCGCTGGCCAAAAAGCAGTCAGGGCAGGCTCACAATCAGAGGAACCTGGGCTGAGGTCTGAGAGACTCCAGGACCTTATCTGCCTGCAGTGGAGGTGATAAGTGCAGGCCCCTGTGGGAGAGGCCACAACTGTACTCAGAGACCGTAGTCACCTGGCTAAAAGGTGGAGGTGCCCAGATGCAAACCCAGGACAGTGTGCTCCCAGACCTCAATTCTCAGGGACTGTCTGAACATGGGGCCTTACAGTGGGAGCTCCAGTGCTGATGGGCAACCTAGGCAGAGGAAGCATGCGTACCTAACCTCTTCAACCTCCATTCAACACTGAAATAACCGGAAATAACAGCCCCCATTGGCACGGGGTTGCAGAGATCAGAGTTAACCTATGGCATGTGCCTGGCTGACCAATGGTGGCTGCTCTCCACAAGGCGTGACCATAACTCATAAAGATGAATGTGAGCTTGCAAACTGGTAGTTCTCAGGTCCCCTTCCAGCCTAAGAAGCACCAGTTTGGGACATGGGCGCTTGAGTGTGGAGAACATCTAAGGAGGGAAAGGATGTCCACATGAACCTGGAGCGCAGGAAACAATGGGAGACAGAACCATGGGAGGGCGGACCAGGCCATTCACTGTAGAGGAGGAGGGACAGGTCAGAGCATGTACGAGGATGAGCAGAAGACACAGATCCCACGCAGGACAGTGAAGGGGAGGCTTCTGCACTCCCAGGTCACCCATTGTCCCTATCCCCACTACCACCACCCTCATCCAAGCTGATAAACCATGAAGCTTCCAGAAGGAAGCATAAGAGACTATTTTAGTGCCTTCGGGGTTGGCAAAGATTTCTTAAGTAGGACAGAAAAGGCACCAACCATAAAAAGCAAAGATTGGTAAATTGGACTCAAAAGATAACATTAAGAGAGTAATAAGGCAAGAGAGACTGGGCAACGATATTTATACTATGCTATTACATAAAGGACTGGCATCCGGAATATAAAGCACTAATAGAAAACAAGGAAAAAAAAGCCAACAATCCAATAAAAATGTACAAAAATTGAACAGACACTTTTCACAAAGGAAGATAGCTGAATGGCCACATTTTTCATGAAAATGTCATTAAAATCATAATGAAACACCACTCCATCCCTGTATTAACCCCATCTTTGATTTTCTGTATTCTGATGCTGTGACATTGGGGGCTATGCTTACCCTAGATGGACGAACGCATGTGAACATGCTTTCCAAATGCAAAAAGAAAAACACAAAACAACAATCCAGAACCCACACCCCAAGCTCTCACTGGAGGTACTGTCTCTCTGCCTAATCACCCAGGGTCAGGTACCAGACAACTTGGGACAGCCACTGTGCCCCAGATCCCTGAAATTATTAAAACCAGCCAAACCTGAGCCCGCTTACCTTGCCTCACTTGTTCCTTTTTGCAGAAATCACAATAAAGGCTCCTGTCCAAAGTTCCCCTCCTCCCTCTGCTTCCTGACCACCCTGCTGCTTCTCCAGCTGGCCCACCCTGGCATGCCTCCTCCTCTGGGAACTTTGAGTAGCAAACCATCGTTTCAATGACGGTCATCTTTTGATCTGTTGACCTTGCTGAACCTCAAATTTTCTATCAGTACACTCTATTTTACAACAACCCTGCCAGAATACCTAGAATGACAGGTACTGACAATACCATGATTTGGTGAGGTAGTAGTAGGTTAGCTGGAATTCTCATGCTTGCTAGTGGGAGTATAATGGGGCAGCCACTGTGGAGAGTTGTATGGCAGAAGCTACTAAAGCTAAACATATGCCCACCCTATGAACCAACAATTCCACTCCTATTTTTAACAGAAATAATGCTCATACATGAAATAGTGCTCAGATAGAAAAGTACAAGAATGTATGCAGCTGCTTTAATCAAAATAGCCTGGAATTGGAAATAACCCAAATGACCACCAGTAAGAGTGTGGAGCAAGACAGTGGGGGACAGTGGAGCAAGTCCCACAGTGAGACACAAAAGAGGAGCAAAGAACAGTTGGTGGCTGTGCAAAGCCAGCTGGGTGTGGAATGAAAAGATCCAGACCCAGAGAACAGCGGTGTTGTTCTAAGTACATCAAGTTCAAGAACAGGAAGAGTGACCCAGGGCGATCAAGATCAAAACAGTGGTTACTTTCTGGTGTGAGGTCTGACTAGGAGAGAGCACGAGGCAGTTTGGGGCACTGGGAATGTTTTCTATCTGGATCTGGGTGTGATCACATGGGTATATACGTGTGTAAAAAGTAAATGTTCACTTAAGATTTGTTCGGTTTGTGATATATCAATAACACCTCAATATAAGAGGAAAAAAAGTAAAAGACCGAAATCTGATCATGACGCTGCTTTGCAGGAACTTCCTGGCCTCTGCAGGCCCTGGACCTGAGGGTGGACTCTGGAGCAAGAGGCCAGGGTTCCAGCTCTACCTGACTGCTCTGTGCCTCAGTTTCTTCACCTATCATGTGGGGGACCCTCCAAGAGCTGCTGAGGTTTGGGGTGGCTGTGCTGTAGGACCAAGGGAACAGGGGTCATCTGGGGTGAGGTAGTGAGAGGATGGGGCAGCGTGAGGACAGGGGCTAGGGCTGGCTGGGGAGGGAGGCATTGGAAGTGGGACAGGTGGAGCTCTGTCCTATGGTCACTGGTCACTGCTGGAGAACACAGGGGCTTTGTGTGGCACGTCAGGGGAATTGCAGGAAGAAATGCAGGAGGTGTCCAAGAGGTGCTTGGTGGTTCCAGAGGTGAGAGCTGGAGGAGCTATGGTGCAAGAGTCACTGGAGCTGGAACTTGTCCCCAGAAGGAGGCCCGCCCTTCACCTGGAGCCTCCAAGATAATTGAAGGAGCTCTCGGACACTGGGACAATTCTGCACAGCTGGCAGGCCCAGCTCTGAGCCCCTCTGTGACAGTGATTTCTATGTGTCAACTTGGCTAGGTCAAACATTATTCTAGATGTTCCTGTAAAGGTGTTTTTTAGATGAGATTAATAATTACTCAGTAGACAGTAAAGCGGATGACCCACGATAATGTGGGCCATTATATATATAATGGAGAAACAGTGAGATGCACAGGGTCAGCTCCCCCATGAAAGGAAAGATGGACATAAGAAAACCACCTTTGCTTATATTTAGGTGGAATCATAAGCACATGCCAGTACTCTTTTGACAGACAAACACAGCAACTTCGTAGGGTTCTACATCCTATTTGCATAAAAAGGGCTGGAAGGACATGCAGGAAATAATAAAACTCATTGCAGCGCTGCCCGTGGCTTCCTGGGCCAACAGCCTGGAAGAAGGTGTGTAGGGACAGGGGGTTAAGATTTCTCAGCTTACATTTTCTATACAGTTGTGATTTTTGTGAATGTTTCAGTGAGGGAGGAAAAGTAACTGGGTGACCCAGCAGCTAAACATATGCCCACCCTATGAACCAGGTAGGGTGGGTGGGATGGGGGTAGCTCTGGCCTGCAGGCCTTGATGGAAGGACAGGTTTGCACTGGCCCACGGATCTGTTTGGGGTTTCTGTTTGTCTCTCATCGTGTTTCTTAGAAGAGTTGAAAGTAACCATCACACTTAAATCTGGGTAATTTTACAAAGAAGTCTAGACTTCTGGCTTCCCTTGAATGGCTCTGGAGCTCTGACCCCTGGGCCAGCGCTTTCTGGCCATAGAAGGCTACTAGAGGGTATGGTGCCATCCTGTCCCGTGTGCCCACCTGCCTGCCCTCATCTGTTCACATTTGACTAGTCCGTTATCACCCAAGTGGACTACCGTAGACTTAAGTTTACTGAATCAGGCAGAAATAAACCTTGGTTGATGAAACTTCTTGATTTTTCAGCTTAATTCAAACAATACGCCCTCCAGGTTGGGAACAGCCCCTCCGCATACTCTCCCCCTTGAGGAGTCTGAACCCATCCTGAAGCCCCTGGACTGGATCTGCTGAGAAGCACTCCCCACCAGGCCCCAACCACTTCCACAGCCCCCCTCAAGCCCACTCACTCTTTGGGGTCCAGCCCGCCACTCGTACTGTGCTGACTGCCCTTTCGGAGTCTGATGGTGCTCGACAGGATCTGCGCCGCCTGTATCACCCGCAGCACTTTCCAGGGTTTCCTTGGGCCCGGACCCTCTGGAGGAAGCAGAGGAGTGGTTTCCATGTGTCCCCGCTAGGAGCAGGGCTCCTCCAGCGGGGGACAGCCACATACCTCTGGATCCTGTCTTGCCTTTGATCCCTGGTCCTATAGGAAGCAAGGGAGGGGAGCCAGGCCTGCAGTGACACTGCTTAGGGGCACAGGGCTTCCCGGGACCCCTCAGTGGCAGGAGGGAGACGCATAGGAGGAAAGCCCCTTGGGTTTCAGTTGAGAGCCAGACCCACTTCCCAAAGCGGGTGCTTGGGCTGAGCCATGATTAGCTAAGAGGTGGCTGCTGCCTGACTGGGGCTCTGTGGGGTGTGGAAAGGACCAAGCCCATGGCCTGAACGCCTCCAAGGCCCCTGTGAGCTGGGCACAGGGTCTAGGTGGGCCCGGGGACCTGTCGTCTCTTTTCTGCTACCTTTGTCCCCATTTGTGGAGAACAGAGTATTCTCTTTGGGGACCTTGGTGACTTTCTTGGCCTTTTTGAGAGCCAAGTTCTTCTTCTCTTGTTCTTCCAACCATTCCTTGGGTGACAGCTTGTATAGGAAATCCTTGTAGACTTTATAATGCTGCAGTATGTCTTCAAATTTGGAGATTTCACTAGACCCAAGGAAGGGACAAGTAAGGTCAGGCTCTGCCCACTGGGAGGCCCCTCCAGAGGGTACCCCTTTTACACCCTGGCCAAAGAAGACAGGCACAGAAGCATTGTCCTGTCAAGGAAAGGATGCCCACCCTGCAGGGACCAATGTGGGTTAGACCTCCCAGAGTTACAGCCCTCAGGGACTCGGTCTGCCTCCTCCCAGGGTGGAGCCCTGTCTCCTGGTGATATGGCCTTGGAAAAGTCACTGAATCTCTGGCCTTTTGGCCTCAGTCACCTCATCTGTAAGATGGGCAGCAGACTACAGTGCTTTGAAGCCCTGAGATATTTAGGGTTCAGTGGTAAAGTGATGAGGTTCACGTTGTTTGGGGCTCCCTTTGACTAGGGGAGAGTGATGGAGGAAAACGTGGTCAAGTCAGCCCAGGCCCAGCTTGCCTTTGACCTCACCTTTTGATGTTCATGATCTGGGTGGTCAGGTCACGAATCTCAGTGATCTTCTCTACCTTCGCTTTGGTCTCCTTCTCTGCCCTGGAAGGTATGTGGGGGCAGGGAGCCAATGTCAGACTGTTAAAGAGGAGTGCCCACACTGCCCTCAGGCCAGGTGTGGAGCGAGGGGACCTGGGGCCTGGGTCAGGTCCAGGATGGGTTGGGTGGGTGTGCACCGGCCTAGGGGACAATGGGGGGATGCCACAGGCTCACGCTGTCAGGGCCTGCACAGAGTTGCGGTCATTCTCCCTGAGGAACTCATCGAACAGGGCGGAGTCCTTTTCCAGAGACCTCTCAGCTCGCTCCAGCTCCGCCTCCTCCTCAGTCACCAGCAGCTCCAGCCGCCGGATCTCGCTCCGCTTCATATCCAGGGCGTACTGGGGCCACCAGAGCAGGGGTCACACTCCTCATGGAACAGCCCACCCGGGTCCCCGACGTGGGAGCAGCTGGGCCTACCTGGATAAGGAACATTTGCCGCTTCTGGTTGATGTACTTGTTTATGTTATCAGATTCCCCGTTCTTTTCTGTAATGAGAGGAGGGAGGCATGTGGGGGTGGGGCAGGCAGTGGGAGAGAGACCCAAGCCTGTGGCAGAGAATGGGCACATAGCCAGTTAGTGGGGAGCCAGTCAGTTGCTCCCAGTGAAGTGCTGTGCTGCAAGGCCCAGGGTATTACAGAGACCATGGGAGAGTGAGCCCTGTCTCCATCAAAAGGTGAGAAGGCTCTGCTGATACATTACATCTCCATTCCTGGAGACTGGTCCAGGTGGGAAGAACCTCTCTTGCTGTAGTACTCTTCTCACCTGGAATGAGACCCTTGCCCTGGAAATTTCATCAAGCTGCCCTTAATAACCAAAGGCTTATTGGCCAGGACCTGAATGGGGGTGGTGAGAGAAAAACGGGGCAGCATGATCTTTACTTGGGGTAACCTAAGCCCCCAGGGCTCCATTTGGGCAGCAGCTAAGTCTACACTGTCAAGGTCTAAGCCAGGCAGGAAGAAATTATGGTGGGCATCTGGACGTTTCAGAGTGCAAGCAGAGAGGTAGCGCAGTGGGGCCAAGGGCTTGTGGGGGCCTCTTTCCTTGGTTTTTCTGGAGAGGAAGATCTAGACACGCCTCGACTTTGGAAGGCCCAGGGACTGTGGAAAGGACTGTAGAACCATGTGGCTGTCTATCTTGTCTGTCAAATACTCTCCTTTCCAGAAGAATGTGGTATGGTGCAGGAGTCCTGTTTTAAGTCTAGATGCCTGGCAGTGAGCCCACTAGACCCCTGCCTCCCTGTTCTACCTTGGGGAAGGCCCAGCTCCTCACTGGAAGCCAAAGCTGGGAAACTGACGAGTCTTGTGCTTCAACCTGCAGGGTCCAGGCTTTCCTGCTCAGGTGCCGCCTGCCTCTGCTAGGTCTTAGGAATGGAGGGTGGAGGCAGAAAGGGAATACGTGCTCTGTGCACCCCCATGCAGTGCTTGGCAAACAAACATCACAGCAAGCTCAGGGCTTCCTACCCCAAAGAACAAGCCATGTGTGTCATGGTGGAGGCTGGGGGTCTCCTTACGTGTATATTCACATCCAGAACATCTGTAGTCCCACTGGGTTCCAGGACTCTCTAATCCCAAATGCTTCTTTCTAGCTTAGTGATATTATACTTTATCATCTGGGCTGGTAGATTATTAATGTATTCTCAGTACTTAAGATTTCCTACTGGGTCACAAAATAACAGCTCTCACACACAGAGTTCTTTCTCACTACGTGCAGGTCTAAAGATGTTGAATCCCACAACCATGAGATTGGTCCTGTCATCAATGAGGAGAGGAAACCATGGTGCAAAGAAGTGAGCTAACTTGCCCAGGGTGGTGCAGCCATTAAAGACTGAAGCTGAGATCTGAACCCAGGAAATCTAGTTCCACATTGACGCTTTTTACTTCCAAGTTAAATGCCTATATTTTATACCGCCTGCACTCACTGATCAACGTTCAGAATGCATGCAATACTGGGGTTCAGAGACTTTCAGACTTGCTCTCCATCTGAACTTGATCCCTGTGACGGTGGAGGCAGGGGTGAGACAGAAAAGACCTCGTTTCCCCACTGCACCGTAGCCCTTCCTCTCCAGGTGGTTGTCAAGTACTGCTCTTTCGTGGCGCGGACCCGACGTGGGGGAGGGAGGAACGGCACCTTTGGTCATGGAGAGCATCCAGGCCATGTTGTTGTGGAAGGCCTGCAGCTGCTCAGCCTCTGCGAGCGCCTCCTGGTCCTCCATCTTGTCTTCCAGCTGCAGCTTTCGCCGCAGGCTGGTGTGCTTAGCAGACACTTTGGACGAGTAGGTCATCTTCTCGTGCACCCGCAGCGTCTTCTTCTGCTCCCGCTCCTGAGGGGTGGGTCAGGGGGGATTCGGTGGGGCGAGCCTCCATTCCCGGCCCCTCCACCCCTCCGTACCTCTCTCCCGCCCCGCCTGGGCCGGGTCTCCTCCCCTCTACGTTTTCCCACCCCAGGGGCACGCGGGCGTAAGGTGGTGTGTACTTGGCTTGGTCAGCATGTGGAGTGCGAACCGGGCAGGATGGGGGGGTACGCACATGCTGCGCGCAGGGAGAGCTGTGGAGTTGTGTGCGAAAGGGAGCATTCCAGGTTCCTGCGCACTACTGCCACGGGTTGGGAGGAAGTGGGCAGGACAGGCCTCTGGACAGTGGAGATGCAGGCGGGCTGCCCACCTGGTGAGATGTGCCTTCCAGATCAATAGTGCAGGGGGACATACTAAAAGATGATTCCTTGTTTATCTGAAATCCACACTTAAACCAAGTGTCTTGTATTGTGATTTGCTAAATCTGACACCCCGAGGTTCAGGGAAACTAGATCTTCGAGTTTCCAGAAGAAACTTGAAAACCCGAGTTTGAGCTGCAGTCTCCTTCGTCAGTGCTGGGGCCATGCTGTCTGTCATTTAGAGTCTGTGCCTTCCCGCCTGTTTTCCACCCTGCCCTGGCAGCTGGCCCCAGCCCTTCACATGAGAGGATCCCAAGATGGGGAAAGGCTGGGGCCTCTTCTTTCCAGAGGCCCAGTGCAGGTCTCTGGCTGCAGGGGTGCCCAGCCTTTCCTGCTGCTCAGACCCTGGGAGTCTCCACATCCTTCACCCTCAGGGCAGCTCAGCCCACCCCATCAGACAGACCGTCAGGTGGACTCTTCATTTGGCATTCCCTGGGTTAGTTCTATTTCCTGCTGGGCCTGTCAGGTCCAGCAACAACCAACAACAACCAGTTCAACCTCTCAAGAGTGCTGCTTAGGGAAAACCTAGCTGTGGTGGGACCCAGAGTGAGGCCACTAGTTTGCACATTCCTGTATAAAACAAAGTCCAGAAAATGTCACCCTCTAGAATTCTAGTGGCAGGTCTGCATATGAAAGACATTGGGCAGCCACTTGGGGTCCGTGTGAGGTTGAGGGGCTCTGCTAGGATGGGGGGCAGAGTGTGAAGTTGGGTGCTATGTTGGGTAGGGGGAGGAGTGTGAGGCTGTGGGGGCCTTTGCAGGAAGGCAGAGATAGCCCTGAAGCAGGGCCAGGGTGGGAGCAGGTAATCCAATCCTGCAATGGTGAGGAAAGAGAAAGGTCTCTAAGTCAAGGTCAGAGAAAGTCTGTGTGTTTGCAGTGTCTTCCCACTCTGGAGGCCTCAGGAAAGTGTGAACTGTTCAGTGTGGCTTTTCTTGAGTGCCTCCTTCCAGGGCATGAATGGGTGCACAGCATGGCAGGATTGGGGGAAATACTGTTGGATGGTGGCCCAGAGTTACTAGGTGGGAGGTCCAGGGTAGGGCTGGAGCATGTGCATTTCCATAAATGTCATTGGTCACTGTTTGGGGTTGCAGTGGGAGTTGCTGTCTAAGGAATCTCAGATACTGAGCCCTGAGTTGGGGTGGACAGAGTCAGCCCAGGAGGGAGCCTGGGACACTGACCATGAGAGTATAACCAGAAACATGGCCCTGGCCACTTCCAAGGAAAGATGCATACCAGGTGAGCCCTCCCTGAACCTGCCTGCAGTGAGGCTTGCTTGCTCTGGCTGTGCTGTGGTGTGGGGGAGTCGGCTCTTTGGGCACATGGGCTCTTGGGATGGGGAAGCAAGAGAGACTATGTTGGGGTACAGATGAGGTACAGGCTGGAGGTTGGCGCTGGCCCTGAGACTCCCAGGCACTGCTGAGGGGCATGTATATGCATATGTGCACATGTGAGCATGTATGTGTTTGTATCTATTTCTAAGAATTCTGATGAGAGGACTGTACAAGGCCAGAGCAGTCATGGGAAGGGGGATTCCTAGGGGAGGTGAGGTCCTTGAGGTCTGCCTTGAAGGACAGGGAGAGCCTCAGGAGCGGATGGCACCTCATGCAAGGGATGGCAAAAGCGAAGGTGTGGTGGCGAAGGCTGTGGCCACAGCAGCTCCAAGGAGCCCACCCTGACAAAGGCCCAGGCACGGTGGCAATAAAACTGGATAAGACAGTGGGACAGGTCAGAGACCTGAGAGCCAGGCAGAGTTTCAGGTTGGTTTTGTAGGAAATGATGAGCTGTTTACTATTCTAGAATGAGAGAGTGACCTGAGGAAAACGCTCTTCAGAAACCTGGCTGCTGCTTGTGTGAGGGAGGGCAGAGCTGGAGGTAGACCTCGGTCCTGGTACTTACTGAGAGAGACTTACTCCGCTCCTGATCTCTCAGCAAGAAGAAGTCCACATCCCCCGACATGTGGAAAGGATTAGCTGAACGATCAGGAACGGTCACAGACACTGGGGAAGGAGATACCTCATTGGAGAGACAAGCCAGCTCTTCCAAGCCACGGCCTATGCCTCTGGGGTCCCAGAGCCCTCCCAGCCCAGCACAGGAAGCTTCTGTGAAAGCATGGGTGAGTGGCAAATGTTCTCTTGGATCTAGCTATGCCTGAAGTCCACCTCTGGGCCTTCCAGCTCCATAAACTCACCTGTCTGGTTTAACCAAGTTGAAGTTGGGCTTCTGTCCCTGGCATCTGAAAGAGACCTCATGAATAGCCCCTCCTGTGTCTGAGACATCTGCTATATCCCTGGCCCTATGTCTTCTCTCATTTGAAGTCTCAGGAACCCCCACTCCATAGAGGAGGAAAGCAAGAGCCTGCCACTTGTAAGTCATGGTGCCAGCTGATGGGGGTCTGTTGACTCCAGAGCTGAGGCACCTGCCTGCAGTGAGGCTTGCTTGCTCTGGCTG